CTGTTGGCCCTTCCCCGGTGAGTCGAGGGTGCTGATGTGGCTATTTCGTCAACACTGGAATACCCCAAATGGAATGACTTGAGCGGAGCCATTAAATAGGTACGAGGTCCTCGGGGAAGCCTCGTCGGGAAGCAGCCCTTGGTCAATGGGCGTCGTCGCACTACCAGTCATGGTGCTGTTCATATGTAGGGCCTCCACGAAGCTCCGGTGACGAGAGAGGTCGAGTACAGAGTGCGGCCGAGTTTGAATTTTCCAAGGCTACTACCACAAAAAGGACCCTATTCGAGACCAAGTTGAGATTGCATAATGATAATGAGTATGTTGACTGCGTATTCCTTTTATCTTGACCTGTTGGGTTTACAAGTTGGGGGATGGTTCAAACAACGTATTCTTCACCAGGGAGCGGTATAGCAATCGTAAATGCGTCTTCGATTATTCATCTCCAGCGTTATCAGAATCTGTTGAATCAGCAAGCTGGGGCTCTTTGGAAATGCTGAGCTCAACTGTCCGTCCATTGTCCTCTCTATCCCGGAACTCCGCCATCATGTCCGCATTCGCGAAGATGTTCGGCGGTAAGACACAGCAGGGGGTGACTGATACTACTAATGAGAATGCTGGGCTTGTGAAGGACTTCCGGAATACAACCTGCAGGCTGCCCCCGACCATTAAAAAGGATGAAGTAAGTCATTTGTTGTACACCATTAATGTGATCGACGCTTGCCAGCATTTGTTGCGTGCTGCGAAGCGGTGTGAGACATGCCGCCGATGGTTCACCGAGGAAGTCTGTCGAGTGTGTCACCCCGCATGGTATGATGCCTGTCTGAACGCTCACCATCCGGTACACTACTCACCATCAGTTTGTGAGTATTGGTGATAGCTTAGGTACATGGCGACAAGGAAGCTCATGAAACGAAGGTGAAGGACCATTGAGAAAAGAGACTTGTATTTGACGTGTAATTTTTGATATTGGCGTACTTCTTACAGATTCACTTCCCTCCAGCTTTTGCTGCTGAATCCTCTTTCGCCGCTTTTCCTTGCGTTCGCTTGGAACAGTCTTACTACGAACAGGCGCTCCAGGGCAAACAGAAATGGCGGTGAATAACACAAACTCCAACGCAGAACTTATGTCCACTTCCTATATAGGATATTAAATCTGGGAGTCCCCGTTCGACATGTTACATATCGGCAGTATGAGACACATATCACATCAATCTCACGCTGCCGATAATCCAGCGTGTAAGGCACTACATCAAACACTTAGTAAAGCTTCTGCCTCCTCCGTCGACTCGCAGGATGACCGTCACATGACTCGTCAAACTCAACAGAAAAGACAATAAATGAATACCTTCCTTCGTGACGGAATGCATGACTTCACAATTACATGTCTGCGTGTGTCACCTCCCACACACGGCGCACCACGGTGAATGCCGCAACATTTTTCATCTTCAATGATACACCGGTAACGTCATTTACATGAAGTTTTTGAACGCCAATACCACTCCTCTACCTCATCTTACTCATGGCTGCGAAAGAATAGTGAAC